TAGTAATGGGAGACATTGAAGTTTGATGTAAAGAAGATGAGAGCAGGTCCTAGGTAATTTATACATATACTGCTATGTATGATAATTTATGTAACTGTATTTATGTGTACCTATACCTGAATAAACTTACTTAAGAACTCTTCACTGGCTCCGGTGAACCTCCCTTGAGGGGCGTATGATTGCCTCTAGGTGCTGTGTAAGTGACTTACACAGGGGTTACACTGTATAACCCCTATGGGCTTAACTCTTCCCTCATGAAATATATAAGTAAATAAAAGTACTTAAGTTTCTGACATAAATCTCAAGAAAATTCAGAGATCTTATTACTACAAAAAACATTAGACACTATTAGTTTACAAGCTGGTGCAAAATGTGGATACACACTCAAGATTTCTTATACCTTATTATTAACAATGATGTTATTTGCTGTTTTCTGTATTGTTTGTTTGAATGTGTGTATAACTGGTTGGATAATTGTACACTAGCTGTATGACCCTTGTGAGTTCAGAACTTAGTTATTATAATAATAATTAATAATGTACACTAAAATATAATGTGCTCCCATTACTTTGCCTCATCCATGACTCATGGATGCACGTTTTTTCAACCTCAGCTAAAGGACTACTGGGGATATTTTTAACGATAAACTTGTTCTTGTTCTCACATCCTTGGATCACCACAATATGACACTGTCATACTTTACACAATGAGATATAAATTATGTAAGGATGTCTAACAAAGCTGTCACCCCCTGTACTAGTTGCAGGGGCAAAAGTGGGACCTCTATTTAATAAGTATCATTAAGTGTCATTTATGCTGCCATTTATTAATGGAAACCTATGTAATTAATAATAATAATATTATTATTATTTAATTATTATTATTCCCATCTCCAGGACTCAGGCCGGACTTGAGTCCTGGAGATGGGAAGTACAGTGTCTACACTCTGAAGGAGGGGTGTTAATGTTGTAGTTTTATAACTGTAGTGTAAAGCACCCCTCTGGCAAGACAATTCAAATTCAAAGTTTATTCTCTATAAGGATTACAATGCTGAGTTTACAGAAATTTGGTTATTGTGTGGTTTACATGTAGTAAAATTGTGATTACAGAGTGTACCACTAGAACGCTTAGCATGGCTAGGCATTTCGGGCAGACTTAGTTTTATTCTTAATTGTAAAATATTACAAATTATGAGGTAAGTTGGTATTATGGCTAAGTGACTAAATACTAGTTTGTGAGTTTAGCAATGTGAATGCTTTTGTTTTGGCACAGTACATAGTTTCAGTATTGGAGTATCACAGGATTCATTATTTTAAGACTGAGATTAATATTTCTGTTTATGGTCAAATGAGTGAGTGAGTGTAAGTGTGAACCACCAGGTGGTATTCGTGTAGTTAGTTGACGGGGTGTATCAGGGAGATAAGATGTTTTCTAATGGTAGTTTTGAAGGTGATGAATGTGTCTGCAGTTCTAGAGTTCTCAGGTAGGGTATTCCAGATTTAGGGCCTTTGACATACATTGAATTTTTGTAAAGGTTTAGTCGGACACGGGGAATGTCGTAGAGATGTTTGTGTCTGGTGTTATGACCTGTGGGTTCTGTCACAAACTATCAAGAAAGCGTTTTAGGTCAAGGTTGAATATTAGAGTTTAAGGCCCTGTAGATGTAGATTGCACAGTAGTAAGTGTAGATGTACTGAACAGGGAGTAAGTTTAGGTCTATGAAGAGTGGGGGGGTGTGTTGCAGGGATGGGATTTAGTGATTATTCTTACTGCAGCTTTTTGTTGGGTTATTATTGGCTTTAGGTGTGTTGCTGCAGTTGATCCCCAAGCACAAATAGCATAGGTGAGGTATGGATAAATAAGTGATGGTATAGTGTGAGAAGGGCATTTTGCGGCACGTAGTATCGTATCTTGGAGAGGATCCCAACCGTTTTGGATACTTTTTTGGTTATATTGCTGGATATGGGTGCTGAAAATTCAGGTTGTTGTCAAGGTATAAGCCTAGGAATTTGCCCCCATTATTTCTGGTAATTAGAGTGTTGTCAATCTTAATGTTAATTTGTGCATCTCCTGCTCTGCTACCAAACATAATATAGTAGGTTTTGTCAGTGTTAAGCCTAAGTTTATTGGCTGTCATCCAAGTCGATATTTTAATCAGCTCCTCATTCACAATGGTGTTGAGGGTGGCAAGATTAGGGTGAGAGATGACATAGGTCGTGTCATCAGCAAAGAGAATGGGTTTCAGGTGTTGGATACGTTTGGAAGGTCATTAATGTATATGAGGAAGAGCAGGGGACCAAGGACACTTCCCTGCGGAACTCCAGTATCGAGTGGCCGTGTTGCTGATGCTGTGTCTTTAATGGTGACATACTGATACCTATTAGTAATGTAAGATTTGAAATAAGCAAGCGCATGGCCTCTTATACAGTAATGATCAAGTTTGTGGAGTAGGATGTCGTGGTCTACTGTGTCAAAAGCTTTTCTTAGGTCAATAAAAATTCCTAGTGGATATTCCTTATTTCCAATGCTGTATAAAGCAGATCTAGCATTTTATGATTGCATCATTAGTGCTTTTATTTTTCCTGAATCCAAGTTGGCAGGGGTTGAGTATGTTTTGAGCCGTTATAAATGAATACAGTCTCCTGTGCACGAGTTTCTCAAAGATTTTGGATAGCAATGGTAAGTTAGATATTGGTCTATAGTTGTTTAAGTCTGTAGGGTCACCACCTTTATGTATTGGTGTAACCCTTGCCATCTTGAGTAGTTTCGGGAAGGTGCTAGTCTCTAGTGACTTGTTAAAAAGTAATGAAATAGCATGCGAAAGGACATGGGCCGCTCGCTTGTACAGTAATGGTGGGACATGAGACAGATTCCCTGAGTTATTTTTAAGTGACTTTATAATCTCAGTGACTTCCGTGGGCTCAGTTGGTGCAAGATAGAAGGAATTAGGGAAATTCCCATCTAGGTAGTCCCCGGCATGGGCATTGGTATGTGGGATTTTACTGGCGAGATTAGATCCTATGGTTGAGAAGAAGTCGTTTATCTTGTTAGCTGTGTCAGTGGGATGTAGTGGTGTTTCATTAGGTTTAGTTAGGACAATATTCTTGGTTTTTCTCAGTTTGTGGGTCCCTAGAATCTGAGAGTGTGTTTTCCAGGTCTTTTTTTATATCTCCTCTAGTGTCTGTGAATCTACTGGAGTAGTATAGTTGTTTGGCTTTCTTTATTACTTTGGTGAGAGCTGATGAATAGTGTTTAAGAATATCTTTGTGTATTAAGCCCTGTCTATATTGCTTTTCGTATTGGTGTTTCTTGTCAATGGATTTCAGAATGGTGCTGGTTAGCCATGGGCGACCAAGCCGTTTGTTTGTGATCTGTTTTGTTTTTATAGGACAATGTTTGTTGTATAGTCTAAGTAATTTGTTAAGAAAAATGTCTGTCCAGTCATCAATACCATTGGCCTTGGAGAATTCTGTAGGCCAATCAATAGTCTCTAGGTCAGCTGTGAACTTCCTTACTGAGGCCTCGTCATGGAGTCTAAATGAGACTTTGTTGTATTCAATATTCAAGTGGTGGTTTACTAATGTTTGTCAGGAGGAAGGTAGGGTAGTGGTCTGTAGTGCTATCTGTGATTATCCCTGATTTAAGGGGGGCTAGTATATTGGTCCATATGTGGTCTATTATGGTTGCACTTGTCTCAGTGAGCCTGGTTGGTTTAGTTATTGTTGGTATGAGAAGTGTGTTGTTCATATTGTTGATGAAATCTGTTACAGGCTGATCATCTAGTAAGCCAAGGTTGATGTTGAAGTCTCCAGCTAAGAGAAGGTGGTGCTTATTCATTTGTCTGTTTGTTATTAGTGACTTTAATTTCTCACTGAAATTTGGGATGTTTGTGTGAGGTATCCGGTAAATGGCACCGATTGTTATAGGCGTCTTAAGGTTTTTTACAGTAAAATTAGCAAAAATGTATTCCCCATATTCATCACTAAAGCAAGTGGTGCTAAGACAAGATAATTGGTTAGAGTAATAGATTGCAATACCACCCCCAACTTGGTTTGGTCTGCAGTTGTGAATTGCTGTGTATCCTGGTAGAGAGTAGATATCTATTTTGTCCTGCTTAAGCCAGGTCTCAGTAAGAATAATGCAGGAGAAGGGTGTCTTTAGTGATTCAAGGAGTGCTAGGAGGTCATCATAGTGTTTGCTTAAGGACCTGATGTTGTAGTTAAGTACTGATAGACTTTTAGCATTGTTTAGGATAGTGGTGGCTTGTGATGCTGTGTAATAAAGGCAGTTACTTTCCAATAGGTTTTGATTGGGTGTCAGATTATGGAGGTTTAGATCAGGGTCAACGTGATCAATCATCTTCTAGGTTTAAATTATGGTTATTTATATCCTGAGTTGTGTGTTGAGTTCTAGTACTGATATCTGTAGTGGTAGGGAGTTTGGACAAGTATATAGCTAGAGTATTTTGGTCATGTAGGGTATAGTCACTACTACACATAATGAAGTTGATGTTGTCTATGTGTTGTGCTGGAATGAACTAAAGTACAACTAGGTATAAACTAGTAATATAAAAATACAAATTAAAAATAGAACAAGACTCTCACTTGTAATTGCACTAAGGTCTAATATAGTGAATTTGGTATTGACTATGTATTGAGTTAGAATGAGCTATGGTACAACTGAATTTAATCTAATAATGTAAAAATACAAATTAAAAATAGCACCAGTCTCTCACTAGTAATTGCACTGATGGAGTGAATGATGATGAAAGTTTTTCTTTTTTGGGCCACCCTGCCTTGGTGGGAATTGGCCGATGTGTTCATAAAAAAATAAAAATAATTAATATTATTATTATTATTTATTATGCATTAGTTATGCCCTGAATGTTATGCACTATGTTCTCTGCCAAACATAATATTTTGCCTATATCTATAAGAAATGTGTTGCATTATTAATGAACAAAATTGTTTTTATATAGTAATCAGCATTTTGTATTACAGAAATTAAAAAGTACAATGAATGAGCTGTTGCCACCTGAAGATTTTCCATTCCCTTTCCCTCCCTATGACATTCAGAAGGACTTCATGAAAAATTTATTTTCTACACTGGAGAAGGAACAGCTTGGGATATTTGAGAGTCCCACAGGGACAGTAAGTGTCATACTTGAGTTCATTAACTTTTTGGTACAGGTACAACATCGATTTTCTGGACACTGATGGTCCAGAACCACACAAATTTATGAGCAGGAACTTGAAATTCCTGCAGTAGTATATTTACCACCAAACTGTACATCACTTATCCAACCCCAAGACCAAGGAAACTGCACTCTCTAAAGGCGGAAAAATCAGTAATCCAGAAAGGCTTTGGAACCAAAGGTCCGAAAAATCAATATTGTACCTGTATGCCATGCTTGTGTTCAGTAATATTTGGTATGTTATGGATTATTTTATTTCAAATATTTTACAAATTGTAAATTGAATAAAAACTTTACAAATGTTGCTAGTGTATATAATGTTCATATCTAGGTCTTTTATTATTCATATTTTTTTCATCATGCAAAGTCTTGCATACTTCTACGTGGAAATTGCAAGGGTACCAGCATAAATTTGCTAACATATTTTACGTACATTTTTGTTTTTGCTGTTTATAATTTGTTTTTTTCAGGGCAAGTCACTGAGCTTGATATGTGGCGCTCTTACCTGGCTGAGAGATCACAATGAGCATTATAAGGTTTGTAATTGACATATGTTAAAAACTTTTTTGAAACATTATCCAAAATATTTGTATACATGAATACTGCTACCTGCTACATTTATGTAGTTGCAGTTGATTTTTTTTATGATGACTTGTTTTAAGTTTCTTGTAATAAAGTTAGAAAATTGCCTTACAATTTACAAAGGTAAATCTAAAATATTTTTAATTCAATGTTTATCTTATTGCTTTTGTTTTTGTGCTTTGTGCACCTCATGACAAATTTTCTTGAGATCTGGTTGTTCCCAATGCAACCATTGTTAGTTCCTCAACTGCTTATGAAATTGCCTAGTGATGATCTTTCCTGAGACCTGGTTGTTCTCTGTCCAACCAAAATTACCTCCTTGATTGCTTATCTAGTCACCAAATGACAATTTTTTTTGAGACCTGTAAGCTCACAAAGCAACCACAGTTATTTTCTTGACTGCTTCTCCAATCATTACAGTTGTCCAGCTACAAAATATTTATATTACTCCAGAATTAGGAAGGTGATGCAAAAGATTTTTTGTCTCCGGTACATCAAATCCCAAAGAGCATTCTACCCTTATTTATTCCAGTCTAACACACTAGCATGTTCCTGCTGGATGTTAAGCCCACATAAGGTCAATTTATTTTTTGCATCCTTCCAAACCCCCTCCCAGAGGGTCTCTACACTTCCTTCTATCAACCCCAAATACTATACTCCTTAACTTATTACCTTCAGTGAACACAATTAACTAACATGTGTTTATTATATTGCTGGTGTGTTTGCTTTCTTCTATTTAGTTTTAAGTATTTTAATACGTAATGACTCACTGATAAAAAATCAACATTCCTTAAGTATGATGACAGTATTATGGAATAGTAAAAGCCAAAATAAAAGCTTTGGAAATGGGTGACAGTAACTCAGTAACTAAATTTCTCCTAATATAGTGGAACCTTGGTTTTCGTATGCCCCAGTTTTCGTAGGATTCGGTTTTCAACGACTTTTTTCGTCGAAATTTTGTCTCAGTTTTCATACATTTGCTCGGTTTTCGTAGCATTGAAAAGGGTCCGTACCAAACGCGTCCACATGACTCGGCCACTGAAGTGCCCACACAAGCATCCCATGCGTTCGTGACTCAGTCTGCCTTTGTTTCTCATTGAGTGAGCATCTCCCTGCCCATTCATCCAAAACATTTCATAATAATCCATTGTTTTTTGGGCTTGTTTATTGAGAGCGACTGCTAAATAAGACACCATGGGGCCAAAGAAAGCTCTGAGTGCTAGCCCTTTGATAGAGAAGGCAAAAAACACGATAGAATTCAAGAAAGAACTCGTAGCAAAGTACAGAAGTTGCATACAAGTGGCTGATCTCGCCAGGATGTATGGGAAGTCCACATTAATGATCAGTTCCATCCTGGCGAAGAAAAAAGAAATCAAGGAAGCTGATGTTGCAAAAGGGGTCAATGTGCTAATGAAACAGAGATCGCAAACAATCGAAAATGTTGAGAAGTTATTGTTGGTGTGGATCAACAAAAAACAGTTAGCGGGAGATAGTGTTTTGGAGGCAATAATTTGCGAAAAGGCAAGGCAGTTGCATGTGGATCTCACAAAGAAAATGCCTGGAACGAGTGCTGCTGTTAGTAAATGTAAGGACACCAGAGGCTGGTTTGACAAATTCAAGAAGTGAACTGGCATACACAATGTATCAAGGCATGACGAGGCTGCAAGTTTGGACAAACGTGGGCCTGAAGAATTCATTGATGAATTCAAGGAGTACGTAGAGGCTGAAGGATTCCTCCCCAACAAATCTTCAGTTGTGGTGAAACAGGCCTCTTTTGGAAGAAAATACCCAGAGAACCTACATCACACAGGAGGAAAAGGCACTGCCAAGACATAAACCTATGAAGGATAGGCTAACTCTTTTGTTCTGTGGTAATGCTAGTGAGGATTTCAAAGTGAAGCCTTTGCTGGTGTATCACTCTGAAAATCCCCAAGTGTTCAAGAAAAAAACATCATCAAGAGTAAATTGTGTGTGATGTGGAAGGCTAACAGTAAGGCATGGGTCACCAGGCAGATTTTCATTGAGTGGGTCAATGAAGTGTTTGGCCCGAGTGTGAAGAAATACCTCCTGGAAAATCAGTTGCCACTCAAGTGCCTCCTGATAATGGACAGTGCTCCTGCTCATCCTCCAGACTTGGAAGACCAATTGTTGGAGGAGTTTAGTTTCATCACAGTGAAGTTCCTGCCCCCTAATACCACTCCTCTCATCCAGCCCATGGACCAGCAGGTCATTTCAAACTTCAAAAAACTCTACAACAAAGCACTGTTTCAAAGGTGCTTTGAAGTGACCTCGGACACTGAATTGACCCTAAGAGAGTTCTGGAGGAATCACTTCAGTATCTTCAGTTGCATAAGCCTTATAGATAAGGCTTGGCAGGGAGCGACTTCTAGGACGATGAACTCTGCTTGGAGAAAATTGTGGCCAGAATGTGTCCTCGAGAAGGATTTTGAAGGGTTTGAGGCTGACCATGATGACCCTACACCTATTGTGGAATCTGTTGTGTCTTTGGAGAAGTCCATGGGGTTGGATGCGAGTGGCCAGGATGTGGAAGAGTTGGTGGACGACCACAGGGAAGAGCTAACCACTGAAGAGCTGCAAGACCTTCAGCTGGAACAACAACAGATCGCAGCTGAGAAAATTGCTTCAGAGGAGGAGGAAGAGAGAAGGGAGAATGTGCCTTCTTCACTGATTAAGGACATCTGTGCAAAGTGGAGTGAGTTACAAAGGTTTGTGGAGAAATATCGCCCTAACAAAGCTGTTGCAAGCCGTGTCTGCAAAACGTTCAATGACAATGCCTTGTCCTATTTTAGGCAAATCTTAAAGAGATGCCAGAAACAAATCTCTCTGGACAGATTTTATATGCAACAGGGGTACAGTGACTCTCCAGCTGGTCCTAGTGTCAGTAAAAGACAAAGAAGGGAAGTAACCCTTCCAAACAATAACCTCTCCTCCTCCCTCTCCCCTCCTCGCCGTCTTCCATACGCCAACAAGAGTCTTCAATAAAGGTAAAGGTTAAATGTTAATTTATCCACTTCATTAGTCATTTATATTTATTTCTCATTGTTTTCTGTATGTAAAACTATAGGTATTCTCTATAAAATGTATTTTTTTGTTAATATTTTTAGGTGTCTGCAATGGATTAATTGGATTTACATTATTTCTTATGGGAAATATTGATTTGGCTTTCGTCAGACTTTCTAGAACAGATTAATCACGAAAACCGAGGCTTCACTGTACATTAACCCTTAAACTGTCCAAACAGATAGACGTTCAGATCCGTAGTGCTCCAAAAGTAGATCTACGTTTTTTTTACACATTTTCAAATATAACAAAAAAAAAATGTAGATAAAAGTTTTTTTACACATTTTCAAATGTAAAAAAAAAATAAGATCTACGTTTTTTACATACTTTCAAATGTTAAAAAAACGTAGATCTACGTTTGGACAGTTTAAGAGTTAAAGCAAGGAATAAGCACTGGCTAATTGTTCATGTACAATATTACTTTCCCTGCTGTTGATTTCATAAGTTTATGAAACTAATTTATTCATTACTGAAAAAATGTAGCTAGAGTAAATGGCAATTGAAATATGTTTGCTGTATTGTACACATTTCTTTTATAGTGTCCATGAGACATCTTTGGTGCAGTGAATTCATGGTGTTTAAATGTGTTATGCTCTCACCATTTGTCTAATTAATGCTAGGTCTTTTTGCTACTTGCATATGATGACTCACCATAATAATGCACTAATCATCAGGCCGAATTAATGAGGAAAGTTAAAGAAAATGAAAATGCAAAAGATGATGATGGTCCTGACTGGTTCAGTGCAGCCACTAAGAGACTGGAAGAAAAGGAGGAGATTAGGAAGTGTCAGCTTGCACTTCAGGAGCTGGAGAAGCAAGAGAAGAAGGTGCAGGCACTTAAAGAACGACGACATGTTATCAAGGTGTGCGCTGGAGAACTGTAACACTGCAGTGTATTTCATATTCTTTAATCATCCACACTGATTCTCCGCTATTACAGTACTGTAAATAATAATAGTTATTTTTTTATGAGATTTGTTTTGAATCCAACCTTTGATAGAACTGGTAAATGCAAAATAGTTATGAATAATAAAAATGAGGATCTCAAAGAGTTACAGAAGAACAAAAAGGCACAGTACTGTGTATTGAGGATTTACTTGCTTGTGTGATAATAGTGTTTGTTCAGTAATAATCAGATACTCTTTAAAAAAGTATCCAAAACAGTTGGGATCCTCTCCAAGATACTATACTACGTGCCGCAAAATGCCCTTCTCACACTATACCACTCACTTATTTATCCATACCTCACCTATGCTATTTGTGCTTGGGGATCAACTGCAGCAACACACCTAAAGCCAATTATAACCCAACAAAAAGCTGCAGTAAGAATAATCACTAAATCCCATCCCTGGCAACACATCCCCCCACTCTTCATAGATCTAAACTTACTCCCTGTTCAGTACATCCACACTTACTACTGTGCAATCTACATCTACAGGACCTTAAACTCCAATATCAACCTTGACCTAAAATGCTTTCTTGATAGTTGTGACAGAACCCACAGGCATAACACCAGACACAAACATCTCTACGACATTCCCCATGTCCGACTAAACCTTTACAAAAATTCAATGTATGTCAAAGGCCCTAAAATCTGGAACACCCTACCTGAGAACTCTAGAACTGCAGACACATTAATCACCTTCAAAACTACCATTAGAAAACATCTTATCTCCCTGATAAACCCCATCAACTAACTACACGAATACCACCTGGTGGTTCACACACTCACTCACCCATTTGACCATAAACAGAAATATTAATCTGAATCTTAAAATAATGAATCCTATGATACTCCAATACTGAAACTATGTACTGTGCCAAAACAAAAGCATTCACATTGCTAAACTCGCAAACTAGTATTTAGTCACTTAGCCATAATACCAACTTACCTCATAATTTGTAATATTTTAAAATAAAGAATTAAACTAAGTCTGCCTGAAATGCCTAGCCATGCTAGGCGTTCTAGTGGTACACTCTGTAATCATTATTTAACTACATGTAAACCACACAACAACCAAATTCTGTAAATTCAACATTGTAATCTTTATAGAGAATAAACTTTGAATTTTGAATTTTGAAAGTTTGCTGTTAATATTGCATAACACTAGTGTATTTTGTTATCTTTTTTTTTTTCATTAGTCATGTTGATTTCAAGTTCTACATTAGTGATGGGAATACATGCAGTGATTGCATTGTGGGTATTTTTATTTAAATTCCCAGCATTATCTGTTTATATATTTTACCAGAGGTCAAATGTCCAGAAAGTTGATGATGAGTTTGAAGAGTTGTTTCGAGATTTGCACGAAGTACAGGAAAATGTTCGACGAGAATTAAGCTCCATTAGTGGTAAAGATATATTTTTTGTTTAGTTTTTTCCTCATCATCTAATTCTGTATTTACTCTAGTTGTGGTGCTGAAATAATGTACAGCACTTAATATTTTGTGCAAAATAAATTCTTAGCCAATATATATGAAAATTTCTGAAAGTACCAGACATTTGAATATATCCTGCTAGGGATAGGATTTTAATTGGTTTGTTAGATCCCCTCTAGCCAAGGGCAAGGCTGTATATGTTCAGTAACCCATCCAGTTACTAGCCAAACCAAACAATGCTTAACTTGCCTTGCCAAGCCTTGCATATATTATCCAGTGCTATACAAATGGTGCTAGATAACATATTACTATAAAATTCTACAGAAAATGTGCTCAAATTTTGGGCAGGACTATATAATACTGCACTAACAAATAAGGTAATATACAGTAGTACTATATAGTATTCTAGGGGGTTAAAAGGCTATGGTTTATTTAATGCACCGACAGAATACTTATACGTATTTATAAATAAAAAAATTTCAGTTTACTTATAAAAAATTTAATGTGGAGATTTTCAGTCAAAGATTCACTCATTCTGGAACAGATCATGATGCCAAATATTTTGCATTTTAACACACCAACTGTGTCCCACCAAGGCAGGGTGACCCAAAAAAGAAGAAATGAAAGTTTTCCTTTTTACATTTAGTAATTTATGAAGGAGTTACTAGCCCCTTGCTCCTGGCATTTTAGTTGCCTCTTACAACACTTTTGGTTACAGACAGAAGCAGACTGGCCATACGGGCATTTGGACAATGCTCGGTGGCCCATTGGGCTGGGTAAAAAAAAAAAAAAAGCTGAAAAAATGTCATGAAAAACTGAAGTCATAGCCAAAAATAAATTTAATTTTTAAGTGGATTTTATTTGTATTTTTTTCAAGCATTTTCTCTGTTTTTCTCAGATAAGCAACATTAATGAACAATGAGCTGCCCTGACAGATGACGGATGCCTGGGCAGGTTTTAAGACACAGTCTGCTTTCTGCTTATGGAGGAAGGATTCTTTTTCACTGCCCCATGGAGTTGATACCAAATACATCACCTAAATTTTATTTTGACATGTGAACAGTGCATTTCTAACAATAACTGTTTGTTATTATTGATTGCAGTACAATTACAATAGTTTTATTTTAGTGAATTTATATACAGTATTTTTTATTTTTTACAATCACAGGCATGAATAATTTTTTTAACTTATTTTTGGATGAGTGTTAGATCAATATCTGAACTCAAATTGGTCAGCTAACCATGACTAACTGAAATGGAAATAGGTCATTTAATCATGATTATTTGAACTGAAAATTGGTTGATTAACAGTGATTCTGGATGGATGATGCTTCGAATAATAGAACGTCTGCTTTGTGGTATTGAGTATGAATTTGCGTTTAAAACATTATATCATATAGAAAAATCTAGTAACAAAGTAAGATTACATTAATGAATTAAGTGATAGTTCACATTCAGCATTTAATGCTGCAAACACTTTAAATGGTATACCCACAGGTGGAGAGATGCTATCACCTGAGGAGGCATCTTTGTTACTAGATGACTACTGCAGTGATGATGAGGCACAGAAGAGCAGTAAGGAAAATGAAGAGGAAGATGACAGTGGTTGTTTAAAAGTAAAGTTTTGATGCTTTTGCATGTTCATATGATGCTTTTACATGTTCATAAATGTAGTGTGTGCATATATTTCTTTTATCACATACAGTGTAATTTTTAAGAATAATATATGTCTTCATTAGAAAGAGATTAGAGGAGAGAAAATTAGTATTGTTTAGAGCATTTAGGAACTTGAAAGATATTACCCATCAAGACGGTATCCTGAAAAAAGAGGAAACACTTTCACCGTCATTCATTCAATCACTGTCTTGCCAGAAGTGTGTTGACATCACAGCTCAGATGACCCTCTGAACTACAGCATCCCCTCCTCTGCTTCAGAGTGCAGGCACCACAGTTCCCACCTCCAGAACTCCACCTCCAAAACTCAAGTCTGGCTAACCAGTTTTTCTGAATCCCTTCATAAATGTTACTTTGCTCACACACTGGCAGCACATCAGCTCATAAAACCACTTGCCTCTACTCCTGTCTAACTCTTTCACACAAGCCTGTTGGCTGTCCAAGCCCCTAGTGCTCAAAACTTCCTTGCCCCTTCCCTCTAGCCCTTCCTGAGATGACCCCTACCCTCCCTCTCCCTCCCTCTCCCTCCCTCCCTCTCCCTCTCTGTCCCTCCCTCTCCCTCCCTCCCTCTCCCTCCCTCTCTCCCTCCCTCTCTCCCTCCCTCTCCCTCCCTCTCCCTCTCCCTCCCTCCCTCTCCCTCCCTCTCCCTCCCTCTCCCTCCCTCTCCCTCCCTCTCCCTCCCTCTCCCTCCCTCTCCCTCCCTCTCCCTCCCTCTCCCTCCCTCTCCCTCCCTCTCCCTCCCTCCCTCTCCCTCCCTCCCTCCCTCCCTCTCCCTCCCTCCTCCCCTCCCTCCCCTCCCTCCCCTCCCTCCCCTCCCTCCCTCCACTCTACTGACAGAGAAGCATGTAATGTGAAAATGAAATCAGGCCATTTATTAGGGACACTTTGCGAGTCCCACCTCTGTAAGTTTAATAAGTAATGTAATATTGCATTAAAAAAAACTTATGGAATGAATTTAAAAATTAACCTAACTTATCCTACTGGCCCATGTGAGATGCATCATACTCACATTTAATCATTCCCACTCGTCTAGCTGTTCAGGATTATGAAATTCAAAGTTGCTAAGCTGAGATAAAGTTGAGAGGTCTCGTATGACATTTGATTTGATAACACTGAAGGAATACTGAAAATATATATGCTGATGATTAAAACACATGTGCAACAGTTCAGTATCTTTATTGTTGAAGTGTTTCATTTATGCAGTAGGCTTCTTCAGTCAAATACAGAGGAGAAAGGATTGTAGGCAGCAGTAGTGGTGTGGTAAAGATGATGAAATCAGTCTATCAGCCTTGGAGAAATAGTATTTGAAGTGGTCAGTCCCGTCAGCCTAAGAAATGTTTAGCTTCATGGTTTGGAGCTTAACAGTTCTCCAGGCTAATGGATGATAAACATGTAATAATATGCTTTTAAGATAGAAGTGTTATAATGCACTATTGTACTCGGTGTTTCATTTTATTTTATTGTTTTGCTTGTGCTTGCACTTTGTTTATAAACATGCAGACAGATAAACCTGATAGTTTGTGTAAAGTAAGGTTTATGTGTGATAAGGTTAAGAATTTATGTACCTTCCAAGGATAAATGTAAGCATTAGCCTCTTTCTTCTTCTTTCAACGTGCCAGCCGTATCCCACTGAGGTGTGGTGGCCCAAAAGAAAAAAACTAAAGTTTCTCCTTTTAAATTTAGTAATATATACAAGAGAAAGGGTTACTAGCCCCTTGCTCCCAGCATTTTAGTTGCCTCTTACAACACGCATGGCTTACAGAGGAAGAATTCTGTTCCACTTCCCCATGGAGATAAGAGGAAATAAACAAGAACAAGAATTAGAAAGAAAATAGAAGAAAACCCAGAGGGGTGTGTATATATATGCTTGTACACGTATGTGTAATGTGACCTAAGTGTAAGTAGAAGTAGCAAGACGTACGTGTAATCTTGCATATTTATGAGACAGACAAAAGACACCAGCAATCCTACCATCATGTAAAACAATTACAGGCTTTTGTTTTACACTCACTTGGCAGGATGGTAGTACCTCCCTGGGCAGTTGCTGTCTACCAACCTACTACCTACAAGCATTAGCCTCATCATCCATTATAAATGTGTAGATTTGAGAATTGCTTGATCCCATTTTCATTTTAAGTCAAAGTTTTCAATTAAAATACAGCCTCACCTCACTTAATGACGGAGTTCCTTTCCTAAGACCATGTCGGTAAGCGAATTCGTCACTGTGTGAGGATCATACTATAATGGTTGTGGGTTTGTGTCAACGATCTTTGATATTGTTTTCATGTCGCCTTTGCACCATTTATAACATTTCTGGTATATTTTTAAATGTTTATACAGTAGTGTTGTGTATATTGTAATAAACAGAATAGAAGAAATCAGCTCTAATATACATTATTTAGGTATGCATTCTGGTCAGAGAGCCTGTCGTAAGTCTGAGTTGTTAGTAAAGGAGTATGTCGCTAAGTGAGGAGAGGCTGTATGTCCCCTTTCCTTCCAGTTTTTCATTCAGTAGTACTGCCACACCTTTGTTCTTGCTTTCAGAGACACTTTACCTAATTCTTTTAATTCCTTCCTATTTTATATTTCCATACATTTTAATTTTGTTTCATTCATTGCTAAGACATCCATGTTCTTTATATTATAATGCTACCAATCATCCCACACTCAGCTTCAAAATTTCCATTTTCTTTTTTTCTGTAATTACATGTAGAAAAAAAGGGTAACCATTCCCTTAGTTCAGGCAGTTTAGTTGTCTCTTACCATATGCATGGGTATGTGGAAATTGGAAATAATAGCAACACTGCAGGTTTTAGAACAGATTCAAGAAATACAGGGAATTAATGCAGATACATATACAATAAGTATACTGTTTTATGTTTTTTTTGTTTTTACAGATTTATTACTGCAGTCGTACTCATTCTCAGCTGTCACAGTTTGTGCATGAGGTGCAGAAAACAGCATTTGGGGAAGATGTGAGAGTTGTATCATTAGCATCTCGACAAAACCTGTGTGTTAATGAGGCAGTCAACAAACTTGGTAACATGTCCCTTATTAATGACAAGTGAGGATCCAAATGGCCCTAGTTTAATTGTCCACTTCAAATGAAGTGTGCAGCATCATTTCCCAGCTGTTAATCTTTATTTACCATCCTTGCCATAAAGAAACCTGAATTCTGTCAAAAACTATGATTCACTACAAACGACTCACGAAATCATAATTTTTTTTTTTTTTCAACAAGTCGCCCATCTCCCACCGAGGCAGGGTGACCCAGAAAGAAAGAAAATCCCCAAAAAGAAAATACTTTCATCATCATTCAACACTTTCACCTCACTCACACATAATCACTGCTTTTGCAGAGGTGCTCAGAACACAACAGTTTAGAAGCATATACGTATAAAGATACACAACATATCCCTCCAAACTGCTAATATCCCGAAACCCCTCCTTTAGAGTGCAGGCATTGTACTTCCCATTTCCAGGACTCCAGTCCGGCTATATAAAAATAAAAATCATAATAACACAATAAAAAACAAACCATGGTACGGGTAAGGTCTGAACTCACGGCAAGTGAGTTGTAAAACTCCAGGCCAGTGCGTAAGCCACTGGACCAGCTGGCTACAATAAGATTCATCCAACTAGGCATATTTATGCACCATAGGGAGGCTAGCATAAGTCCCATTGTGACCACAAATGCAAGTTTTTACAGATGACTCTCCTGCCTGCTTGGCCATGATAAACTCTTGCTCAAGTCTCCTCGAAGCCTGGAGTTTTATAACTTGCTTGCCGTGACTTTGAGCTCCGCCTGTACCGTGGTTTATTAACTGCAAGTATTTTCACAGGAAAAATGTCCATTAATGGATAATGAATCACTTTCTAGTTGTAGCTACACTGAGAGTAAAAGGTAGATGGGATACAAGGAGAATAGAAGCATCAGGGAAGAGAGAGGTGAAGGTTTATAAACTAAAAGAGGAGGCAGTTAGGGTAAGATATAAACAGCTATTGGAGGATAGATGGGCTAATGAGAGCATAGGCAATGGGGTCGAAGAGGTATGGGGTAGGTTTAAAAATGTAGTGTTAGAGTGTTCAGCAGAAGTTTGTGGTTACAGGAAAGTGGGTGCGGGAGGGAAGAGGAGCGATTGGTGGAATGATGATGTAAAGAGAGTAGTAAGGGAGAAAAAGTTAGCATATGAGAAGTTTGTTTTACAAAGTAGAAGTGATGCAAGGAGGGAAGAGTATATGGAGAAAAAGAGAGGTTAAGAGAGTGGTGAAGCAATGTAAAAAGAGAGCAAATGAGAGAGTGGGTGAGATGTTATCAACAAATTTTGTTGAAAATAAGAAAAAGTTTTGGAGTGAGATTAACAAGTTAAGGAAGCCTAGAGAACAAATGGATTTGTCAGTTAAAAATAGGAGAGGAGAGTTATTAAATGGAGAGTTAGAGGTATTGGGAAGATGGAGGGAATATTTTGAGGAGTTGTTAAATGTTGATGAAGATAGGGAAGCTGTGATTTCGTGTATAGGGCAAGGAGGAATAACATCTTGTAGGAGTGAGGAAGAGCCAGTTGTGAGTGTGGGGGAAGTTTGTGAGGCAGTAGGTAAAATGAAAGGGGGTAAGGCAGCCGGGATTGATGGGATAAAGATAGAAATGTTAAAAGCAAGTGGGGATATAGTTTTGGAGTGGCTGGTGCAATTATTTAATAAATGTATGGAAGAGGGTAAGGTACCTAGGGATTGGCAGAGAGCATGCATAGTTCCTTTGTATAAAGGTAAAGGGGACAAAAGAGAGTGCAAAAATTATAGGGGGATAAGTCTGTTGAGTATACCTGGTAAAGTGTATGGTAGAGTTATTATTGAAAGAATTAAGAGTAAGACGGAAAATAGGATAGCAGATGAACAAGGAGGCTTTAGGAAAGGTAGGGGGTGTGTGGACCAGGTGTTTACAGTGAAACATATAAGTGAACAGTATTTAGATAAGGCTAAAGAGGTCTTTGTGGCATTTATGGATTTGGAAAAGGCATATGACAGGGTGGATAGGGGGGCAATGTGGCAGATGTTGCAGGTGTATGGTGTAGGAGGTAGGTTACTGAAAGCAGTGAAGAGTTTTTACGAGGATAGTGAGGCTCAAGTTAGAGTATTTAGGAAAGAGGGAAATTATTTCCCAGTAAAAGTAGGTCTTAGACAAGGATGTGTGATGTCACCATGGTTGTTTAATATATTTATAGATGGGATTGTAAGAGAAGTAAATGCGAGGGTCTTGGCAAGAGGCATGGAGTTAAAAGATAAAGAATCACACAAAGTGGGAGTTGTCACAGTTGCTGTTTGCTGATGACACTGTGCTCTTGGGAGATTCTGAAGAGAAGTTGCAGAGATTGGTGGATGAATTTGGTAGGGTGTGCAAAAGAAGAAAATTAAAAGTGAATACAGGAAAGAGTAAGGTTATGAGGATAACAAAAAGATTAGGTGATGAAAGATTGGATATCAGATTGGAGGGAGAGAGTATGGAGGAGGTGAATGTATTCAGATATTTGGGAGTGGACGTGTCAGCGGATGGGTCTATGAAAGATGAGGTGAATCATAGAATTGATGAGGGGAAAAGGGTGAGTGGTGCACTTAGGAGTCTGTGGAGACAAAGAGCTTTGTCCTTGGAGGCAAAGAGGGGAATGTATGAGAGTATAGTTTTACCAACGCTCTTATATGGGTGTGAAGCATGGGTGATGAATGTTGCAGTGAGGACAAGGCTGGAGGCAGTGGAGATGTCATGTCTGAGGGCAATGTGTGGTGTGAATATAATTCAGAGAATTCGTAGTTTGGAAGTTAGGAGGAGATGCGGGATTACCAAAACTGTTGTCCAGAGGGCTGAGGAAGGGTTGTTGAGGTGGTTCGGACATGTAGAGAGAATGGAGCGAAACAGAGTGACTTCAAGAGTGTATCAGTCTGTAGTGGAAGGAAGGCGGGGTAGGGGTCGGCCTAGGAAAGGTTGGAGGGAGGGGGTAAAGGAGGTTTTGTGTGCGAGGGGCTTGGACTTCCAGCAGGCATGCGTGAGCGTGTTTGATAGGAGTGAATGGAGACAAATGGTTTTTAATACTTGACGTGCTGTTGGAGTGTGAGCAAAGTAACATTTATGAAGGGGTTCAGGGAAACCGGCAGGCCGGACTTGAGTCCTGGAGATGGGAAGTACAGTGCCTGCACTCTGAAGGAGGGGTGTTAATGTTGCAGTTTAAAAACTGTAGTGTAAAGCACCCTTCTGGCAAGACAGTGATGGAGTGAATGATGGTGAAAGTTTTTCTTTTTCGGGCCACCCTGCTTTGGTGGGAATCGGCCAGTGTGATAATAAATAAAAAAATAGAATCTGATACAAAGTGGGAATTGTCACAGTTGCTCTTTGCTGATGACACAGTTCTTTTGGGAAATTCTGAAGAGAAGTTGCAAAGGCTGGTGGATGAATTTGAGAGGGTATATAAAACAAGAAAATTAAAAGTGAACATATAAAAGGTATGGTGATGAGAGTAACAAGAAGTCTAAGGATATCAGATTGGAGGGAGGGAGTATAAAGAAAGTGAATACATTTAGATATTTTGGAGTGGACATGGTGGCAGATGGGTCTACAAAATATGAGATGAACCATAAAATAAACAAAGGGAAAAAAGGTAGGTTATGTATTAGGGCTTCTGTGGAAAGAAGGAAGCTTAACTGTAGAGGCAAAAAGGAAAATGTACTAAAGTATAATAATTTTTTTTTTTCAACTAGTTGGCCGTCTCCCACTGAGGCAGGGTGACCCAAAAAAGAAAGAAAATCCCCAAAAAGAAAATGCTTTCATCATCATTCAACACTTTCACCACACTCACACATAATCACTGTTTTTGCAGAGGTGCTCAGAATACAACAGTTTAGAAGCATATACATATAAAGATACACAACATATCCCTCCAAACTGCCAATATCCCAAACCCCTCCTTTAAAGTGTAGGCATTGTACTTCCCATTTCCAGGACTCAAGTCCAACTATATGAAAATAATAATACCAACACTTTTATGTGGGCTTCAGCATTCACTTTAACATTCACAGAGGCAGTGGAGATGACATGATTGAGAGCAATGCATGGCATGAGTATTATACAGAGAATTCAGATCCCATGGAATTATCAGTGGTATAATTCAGAGGGCTGAAGAGTGGTTTGTGAATTTAGAGAGGATGGAGCAGAATAGAATGACCAAGAGAGTATATAAATAAAGGGTGGAAGGAAGGAGTATGATTTTCTGAGTCAATCTACAGACCAATGTCAAACTTGGCAATGTGTAGTACTGTACAAAAGATATTTGAAAACATAATTCACAAATATCCTTACTTCTAATGAGATAAGCACAATATAAATTCAGACTTTTCTAAAAGCAGAAATGACACCAATGATAAATGCTGAACATTATTTAAACAACATTTGAAAAGAGTGAGTATTCACCTAAACTATTTATTGAACTGTGAAAGAGTTTTGATACTGTTGCTGTAATAACCTTCTTAATGCACCATGTACTCAGAGGTCTCCCATACTATTTTATCCAGTCTTACCCAACTGTCATAAAACATTGGTGTCTGTCAGGGTAACATCTTACTCCTCTTTGTTATTTTGTCAGTCTGTGAAGAATAATTATCTGGTATCCTTCATAACTTCATTTGCAAGCAGGTGAATAGTTGTCTGTTAAGGTACAAGTAAAGATACATACTTGCATTATTAAAATATACATCTCTAGCACAGTTTAGTTTATTTCCCCTTTGGTTATTATTTTTTCCAGGTGCTTGGATTTACAGCGGGGCAAAAAGGGTCAAGCCACCAAGTGTGAGGGAGATGGTACAACAAGCAAGAAGAAAAAACGCTCATCTGGTTGTCCATATTTCCGGCAGACTGGCCTAGAAATCTTTGCTGATCAGGTCAGGAAGCTTCATCTGACATATTTGTAAATTTTGTTTATAATTAAAATTTCTTGTGAATTCTCAGTTTAATGTTTGTAATTTTAAAGGATTTTCATCAGAGAATTTTACCGGCTGCTGTGCTTATCATATAAGTGAAAAAATTCACATGTTCCCTGAACAAAAGGAATTTTTAGAAATAATATTGAGTATCTCAGCAGACATATTTAAGAGAAAAGTAAAATAGAAGAAAATTAAAAATGCAGAGGCACAGGAAAAGAAGAAGAAAAAAACATAAGAAGGTTGTTAAATTAGTATTCATGAAAGCCCAATGTGAAGGTGGATAGATGTAAACACTACATTTGTCATGGCATATACAGTAGTTATTTGTGCAGGCCTACACAATTGTAAGCGCATACTCTTCCTGAAATCTAAGAAATAAAATAGATTTTGTAAAAAATGGATATTTCATACATTTCCCAATGTTTCTTTAACAGCTACTCTTGGAAGTTCAAGATATAGAGCAGATGGTAATCCTTGGAAGGAAGTCCAAAAGTTGTCCATACTATGGAGCAAGACATGCAATAAAGGATGCTCAGGTAAATTTACCTATGGTATTTCAGAAGTGATTGCTGAGGTCTTGATTTGCTTTAATTTACAAAATATATAAATATGTATATATATATTTTTTATAAAAGCATTTTGTTACTTCACTAGCTGGTTGTGCTCCCGTACAATACACTTCTCCACAAAGGCACGAGGGAAGCCACTGGTATAAAACTAAAAGGAAACATTGTGATTGTTGATGAGGCTCATAATCTCTTGGAAACTATTTCAAATATCCATTCAGTATTTGTCAGCCATGGACAGGTGAGAAAGATGTACCTTTAAGAAGTTGGCTACTTTGAGATAGTGTATTGGTAATGTATTTAAAATAAAGGCAGTGTAAATTATGTATTACTTGAACTGCCATTCTGCCATTGATAATACTGTAGTTTTTCTTTAAATTAATAGAGAATAATTGAAAATAATGTTACAGTTGCAAGGAGCTCATGCACAGCTCAGTCAATACATGCAGCGTTATGGCAAGAGGCTGTCTGCAAGAAACCTATTGTATATCAAGCAGATACTGTTTTTTATGAGTGCTTTAATAAAATTACTTGTGGGAGGTAAGTTGTCTACTGTATTTTCAATTTATACAGCTTACAAGTACAGTACAAGTATTCATTTATAGGCTGTACTAAACATATAGGTGTGAATAAAAGAGGCCAGTTAGTAGAGCTCTGAGGGAATTCAATATTTTCGTAAGCAGTATGATTTCTGGTGAAATTTTATTTTCCGCTTCCCTTGTATTGTGAAATTAAGCAAGCATGATAAGTAAACATTACCCCAAACTGTATATGCATTACTTTTTGTTTGCTGTAGACCCTTGGGAAGGCCCACTTTGAATTAAGTGTACCACCAATTTCCTGCTACCTGGTGCCTGCACACAACAATAATATGTAATAATAATAGAAAAGCTGTGGGGAAGTGGAGGAGATGAGGACTGAAACAGACATAATAAAAACTTGTGAGACTAGTATGTAGAAGATAGATGCAAGAACAGTGATTAGGTATAAGAGAGGTAGTTACAACATTAGGCAGTAATACTGTAGGTGCAGTACAGTATTACATATTCCAAGTGGGCTCCCCTAGTACATCTTTAGTATTCAAAATATGGTTTCATTACCTGTGTTATTAAGATACCCAGATTTAGGACTAATCATTGTAATGTTTCTTATGATTTACAGGTTCAGAAGTTTGTAATAGCTTGGGTAGCAGTAGTGTCAGAAATGCCATTGTGAGTGTGAGCAGTAAAACACCTACAATGCAGATGTTCACAGTATCAAAGTTTTTATGTGATACCCTCACTGACAACCTTAATATTTTCAAACTTGTGCAATACATAGAAAAGAGCAAAATTGCTCATAAGGTATGAATATTACAAATAATAAAAATTAGCTTGATAATATTTCAATGTATGTGAAGATTTGTATCTCTCTCTCGTGGAGTATAAACTGCTCTCATGCTTTTAACCAGTCTATTTGTATGATCTTGTTGATATTCATATAATCTTTTGCAATGAAATGATACCAGATGTTTATTTTTTATACAGTTTGTTAATCTTTCATGAATATTGTCTTGACTAAACACACTAAGCTACTTTTATTTTTACACTAAAAGTATATCGTTGATGGTCTTGTCATAGCTACATTCCTTCAGTCAACACTTTGAAGGATCAGTGAAGGTTCATCAGGACCAGAAGAACTCTGTGTCATCTTCAGCTACAACTTCTGCTTTCCTGGCCAAGATGGCTGCCCAAAAACCTTTACACAATAAAGCCAAAGGTAAATGACATTGATTTACAGAATAATACTTTAGTTTACCTAGTCATGTAATCATTTCAAAGCCATAAATTAAGCCTTGCTCCATGGGGAAGTGGAACAGAATTCTTCCTTCATAAGCCATGCGTGTAGTAAGAGGCGACTAAAATGCCAGGAGCAAGGGGCTAGTAACCCCTCCTCCTGTATATATTACTGAATTTAGAAGGAGAAACTTTCATTTTTCCTTTTGGGCCACCCTGCCTTGGTGGGATATGGCCGGTTTGCTGAAAGAAGAAATTAGGCCTTGCGGCTTTTGCTAAATGATGGTGTTGAATGCAGCATAAACACTACTGCATCTCTAACATATACACTGATTGCTACCAGGTACTGCTCTGGCATGTCAAAACAGTATTTGTGAATGGTGTTGAAGATACTTCTAGTCTTCTACATATAATTTTAGCCAACTACTTCTGCATAGTATTAGGCATTGAGGATTAATTGGGAATGCATATGTGACAGAATTCTGTCTTTTATTTGCAGAAAATGCTCGGCCAGCAGCTTCTACAGCAAAAAAAGTTGAAGTTGAGGTTGAAGCTGAAGAGGAGGAAATTGTGATGGGCTCTCCTTTGATGCAGATAACTGAACTGTTGCGAGCTCTTTTACATTCCACTGAGGATGGTCGAGTGGTTGTGACTGTCGGTCCTACCCCTCGGAGATCATCAATAAAATATCTCCTTCTCAATCCAGCTTCTCACTTCCATGATGTTGTGGCACAGTGCAGGTTTTTTAGCCTAGTTTTTTGTGGGTTTTAGTAAAAATAATAATGCTGCTAATAATAATAATAATAATAATAATAATAATAAAAATAAATAATAATAAATATTTTTTAACTAACTGGCTGTCTCCTGCCAAAGCAGGGTGACCCAGGGTAGAAAACACACTCTCCAACATTCATTAAATTGTTGTCCTTTCCAAAAGTGTGCTGACATCACACTCAGATTACCCTCTGACTGCAACATCCCCTCTCTCTATTAAGGATTTTTTTTAACTATTTGTTACCTTGGGACACTATTATAAGATTCTTCTTTTTTTTTTTTTTAAATACAACGGTGGCCTGGTGGCTAAAGCTCCCGCTTCACATTCAGAGAGCCCGGGTTCGATTCCCGGCGGGTGGAAACATTTCGACACGTTTCTTTACACCTGTTGTCCTGTTCACCTAGCAGTAAATAGGTACCTGGGTGTTAGGCGACTGGTGTGGGTTGCATCCTGGGGGACAAGATTGAGGACCCCAATGGAAATAAGTTAGACAGTCCTCGATGACACGCTGACTTTCTTGGGTTATCCTGGGTGGCTAACCCTCCAAGGTTAAAAATCCGAATGAAATTTTATCTTATCTTGTCTCCCACCGAGGCAGGGTGACCCAAAAAAGAAAGATTAAGTAACTTTGCTTCTTAAAAGTATTTGAGAAAATGTCAGTTAATCAATTGGTATATTTCACCTCAGGTCAGTAATTGTTGCTGGGGGCACCATGCGACCCATTAGTGAGTTCCGGGATCAACTTTTCGTCTCAGCTGGTGCCGACCCTAGTCGAGTGCATGAGTTTTCCTGTGGCCATGTTGTCCCTGCAGAGCAGATCATACCTATTGCTCTCACTCAAGGCCCCACAAATGTTACCCTAGACTTCACTTACCAGCATAGAGGAGATACCAGGGTGGTAAATAAAGATATTTTATATGACTTCAGTATATGTACTTGCAAACTTATTACAATGCTATAAATGTAGTTTTTTATTGATAAATTGTTGAGTTGCACTACATAGGATTGACTACAAATCTCATTCCACTGCTGCTTTCTTGTCTGTATGTGGAATATCCTTTATCATATGCAAGTGTTCATGACACTTTTATCATCAGTGTGGTAGTAGGTTGGTTGACAACAACCATCCAGTTCCTCCTAAGATGTTTGTAAATACTGTACATGAAAGCACTCAGGTGTTTCTGCTCTGTTATTTTTTCAATGGTATTTTTTCTGATTTGTAGTCATGCTTTTTATAGTGGTTTCTTCTAAGGTGTCATTGTTCATGTATTTTTTCATGTAGCTGGATGAATTGGGCCGTGTGCTGGTGAATATATGCACAATAGTACCAGGAGGAGTGGTTTGTTTTCTGCCATCTTATGATTACGAACAAAAGGTGTTTTCCCACTTCACCACCTCTGGGGTGATAACCAGGCTGTCATCTAAGAAAAAGGTACTTAATTATTTAGTTAACTAACAGTGTATGTATTTGCCTTTTTTTTTCCAACAAACCGGCCATATCTCACTGAGGCAGGGTGACCTAAAAAGAAAAATGAAAGGTTTGCCTTTTTATTATCAATTTTTAGGAACAGGAACAAAGGCAAGGTCATGGTGTCCCAGCCTCCTAAGTATTAAATCTGTCATCTATCTATACAATGAAAGGGGCACTTAAATGAAAACTACATGACCACCATATTGGATAATTAAAGGTATGTTTATTTATTATTATGTTTATATATTATTGCTCATTCTGGTGTGTTAGCATATTTACTCCTCCATTATCTTATCCCATCTTCCATTGATTAAACCCTTCCCTCTTCAGTCAGTCACATTTATCTGCAGTTCCTGTTTTAGTGTTCATTAGTAAAGCCTTAGAGAAGTATACGAAGATACTGTATTTTCAGTTTGTATTGGTATGTGTTATGTTCATAAGTTCAAGAATTATTGATTTTATGATGTAGAGAAAGCTCAGAGGTTAATTGAAGTGAATGCTAATGAAAGGAAGTTTATTGTGGGGTTGAAACATGAGCCTTAAGTTTAGGTTTACAAATAAAGTCTGCCTATAATATGGCTCCCAGCATTTATTATGAAGACTGTCAAGAAATACAAAGTACACAACCTTGCATTCACTATCTCTCACAGGTATTTCGTGAACCGAAAAAATCAAATCAGTTAGAGAGTGTGCTGAATGACTTTTCGAAGACTGTGCGACTGACAGCATCAAATACAAATGGGCTTACTGGCTCATTGCTCTTCAGTGTTGTTGGTAAGTTCTCACAGTGGAGAGACTACATTACAGAATTAAAAAAAAATGTAACATCAATCAGAAATATTAGCACATCTGGTACTTTTTTCACTTGTACACAAATAAATATTAATTTTGTCCAAGAATGATTTGGCAATGAAAAAGAAAAACAGGACTGACTACAAGAAAGGAAAATTGGCTTCTCCAGTGCATATTATAGCATCTTAGTGACCATTAACTGCTGCCCTGCAACATTCTGTACACTGTCGTAGGAAAATAATGGCAATCAGAAGTGATTTTGGCAAGTTTCCAGAATGTTTATGGTAGCCAGTAGATGTCTTCACCATGAGGATAAGTTAGCCCTATAGCTAGAGTTAACTACTATTATTCTTTGCACACACCACAGATGACTGTGTGAGGAAATTGTCACAGGGAAGATTGTCATCCTACAGTGCAAAGTGATCTAGGCATGCCAACCCACTGTAATACAAATGACACACTTTGAAAATAAATGGTATAAAATACCGACACAATGGAAACATAAACACACATGCAGTTTAATGTGATCCTTTATTGACAACGTTTCACCCACACAGTGGGCTTTTTCAAGTCACAAACAGATCTACCTGGGGTGGAAGGTACATGAGTATTTATAGTCAGGTTCAGAATGTTGAGGTCAGGTGGAGAAAGCTGCATCTGATGATCTACCGGGTGGGGTTATAGGATCACAATAAACTGCATATGTGTTTATGTTTCCAATGACACACTTTGCTTGCAGCTGGGGCAGGATGACAGCTTTTGAGGAATCCTTCACATGGACAAGGTGAACATAGTCAAACCTCTGTAGCTATATTTGCAGGAGTGCAAAAAAATAAACGTCAGTGACTCACTGTGGAAATCAGATTCTAATGGTAGTATGAACCAGCACACACGAGGAAGTGTATGTGGGGAAGAAGTAGTAGACATATTGGAAGTGGTAGTACTAGGGAAGGTACTGAATATTCTAACAGCCCAAGTACATAACAATGAAGGACTGCGAGTGTAGTCGCAGAAACAAAAAAGTTACAATACACAAATAACTTGCACATAGAAGAGAGGAGCTTATCTAATGCATATTTAACCCTGATTGTTTCAGCAGGGCCATCACTGAACCTCTTATTTTTACATGTATCCATTTGCCAAAGAAGTGTGTTGCCCATCAGTGGACTGCAATACCAGAAGTAAACTTAGATGGAGGGAGTATATATAGACAGGAGGTGGTAGTGGTAGTAGTGGAGGTAGAAGGTAGTAGTAGTAATATTTGACTGGCTCCTCCTCTTCCATACTACCTTCCCCACTACTACTACCTCCACTACTACCTCTACCACCTCTTGCCTACATATACTCCCTCCTTCCCTCCTTTGCATTAGTGAGAGTTTGTAAATAAACTTAGATGTCTTCAACCATGGCTACCTTGATATAAGAAATACTAGCCAGTACAGCCCATGACATCAACTGGGCTCAATTTTAAATATAGTTAGTTTTCATCTTTATGAAGAGAACTTTAGAACTAGAGATTTGGTCTCTACAACTCTGGCTACACTGTGCACAACTGTACAGACAGACATGTATGTTTCTTTATTATACCAGCATGCCAATTTATCAAGCTGTTCAAATCCCACTGGCAGTATGCTCATGCTTTACCCATCCACTAAGAATCTGTGGAATCTGGTGTGCACATGCACCCCATTCATGCACTAAACGGCATATGTCAGGCCCCTTGTGGAGTATGCAACATCAGTATGGAACCCACACCTAAGCAAGCATGTCAAGAAGCCAAAAAAAGGGGAGAGATTGCCAATGAGTCTTGTTCAGGAGCTAAGGAGTATGAGCCATGAGGAGAGACTTAAGGCACTAGACTTGATATTTAAAGACAGAAGGACCAGGGGTGACATAACAGTGTATAAAATCCTCAGAGGAATTGATAGGTACAAACTTTTTGAGAAATGGGAAACATGAAAATGATGGCACACCTGTAAGTTAAAAACAAAGATGAGTTACAAAGATGTTAGGAAATATTTCTTTATTCTCAGGGTGGTCAGGAAATGGAACAATCTGGATAGTAAAGTGGTAAAGGTAGGATTTATACATAGCTTTAAGAATAGATCAGGCGAGAAACTCAGTTACAGCCAGTGAACTGAGGCTCAACCACATATAGGTGAGTATACGTGGAAAGTATGTATGTGCAGTATGTATATGTTCATGCGTGCATGTATGGCAAAAGTTGTAAATTGAAAAAAAGTTGGAGTAGAAGGAATAATAGAATATTCTTCTTTGCAACAGAGTGATTGTTCATTGGAATGAATTATAAAGAAGTACTGTAGCAAGTGCTACAATTATTAGAAGTGCTTAATGTATTACATTATTATTGTTTTTTTTTTTTTTTTTTCAACAAACTGGCCGTATCCCACCGAAGCAGGGTGGCCCAAAAAGAAAAACAAAAGTTTCTCTTTTTAACTTTAGTAAAGTATACAGGAGAAGGGGTTACTAGCCCTTTGCTCCGGGCATTTTAGTTGCCTTTTACGACGTGCATGGCTTACAAATGAAGAATTCTGTTCCACTTTCCTATGGAGAATTATTGTTATTATTATTACAATTATTAGAGATTTTAAAATTAATGAAGGAATGTCACAAGCATATCTCTCAATCTTTTTAATCTTCCCTTCATCTCATGATTGTCCTTTTTCCTTGTATGTACTGCACTGTAATATCTATCAAGAACAAGCAGTTATTACTTAAAATATAACATGGCCATATGATTAGTTGGTAGCCATCAGTGAAACTGCCCAACTTGTAGACTTATCAAAGATTATGTATGGTACTGTAATTTTTCCAGAATTCACACTTACAATAAATCTATTAAGCAAATATTATTGCATTACAGTATTTGGCTCAAAAATATGGGCAAGTGGAAATATTGGAATGCAACTTGATATGGCCATTATCACTTCTATATATTTATCATAATGTGTAAAATATAATTGTGCAGGTGGGAAGATGAGTGAAGGCATTAACTTCAGTGATGGCCTGGGACGATGTGTGGTTATGGTCGGACTTCCTTACCCAAACACACAGTCTCCAGAACTTAAGGAAAAGATGCTTTTTCTCAATAAACATGTGGTAAGTTTATATTTTACACTTTTATATTGGTTAGGGTTCTAGAAGTTAGAAAGAACTTAATACAGGTGATAATTACCATCATATTTATGGAGAAGCACTAAACCCATGGAGGGCATACAGAATACAGTAATACCTTGTAATAATGTTGGTAGAATTACCAACAATATGTAAAGTAAAAGGACACAAGTGCAACTAATGTGACATTTTATTGTGGCAACGTTTTGCTCTCCAGGAGCTTTGTCAAGCTGTTACAAACAGTACATGGACACAGAGGGTATATATAGGCTCAGAGTGAGGTGCAATACTAGTGGTAGTAGTAGTAGTAGTGACATAAGTTGTAGTAGTAATAGTAGTAATACAGTAGGGTAGAGCAATTAACTCGTACATGAGTGAAAGGATATAAAAGCTATTACTTGGGTAACATAAAAATAGGTTAGACAAATATAGACTGAATAGAGAAGGCCTGTTTCAGTGTTCACTCTCTGTAATGTGCTCTGTGTAGTATTAACAGGAGAGACTATGTGATGGCAGGGTTTACTATTTTCAGGAGGATTCTTGCTAAGACTTCAGAGATGGTGAAGCTGCCTTTGTTTTGTTTAATTGTATTCGAAACTGCGATTAGTGCTGACTCGAGGCACTTGCGTCTGTGGAAATTAGTTTCTTTGATCACTAATTGGGCATCCCTGAATTTCATGAGATGATTGGATGAATTTTGGTGTTGTACACAGGCATTGTTCAAGTTATCGTTCCTACATGCGTAAATGTGTTCATTGAGGCGGGTGTCGAGGTTTCTTGCTGTTTCACCTACATAAATCTTGTCGCAGCTTCCACAGGGTATAGTGTAGACTCCTGCATTGACTGGTAAAGTACTTTCACAAGCTAACACCAGAGTCGCCATTGCTTCCAGCACTTCAATAAAGGATCTAACCAGGACAAAATCAAAGCACCACGAACCAGTCAATGCAGGAGTTTACACTATACCCTGTGGAGACTGCGACAAGATTTATGTAGGTGAAACAGCAAGAAACCTCGACACCCGCCTCAATGAACACATTTATGCATGTAGGAACGATAACTTGAACAGCACCTGTGTACAACACCGAAATTCCTCCAATCATCTCATGAAATTCAGGGACGCCCAATTAGTGATCAAGAAACTAATTTCCTCAGACGCAAGTGCCTCGAGTCAGCACTAATCGCTGTTTCGAATACAATTAAATAAAACAAAGGCAGCTTCACCATCTCTGAAGTCTTAGCAAGAATCCTCCTGAATTTTTATTTAACTGCATTACGCACCAATATTGGACTTCTGCTATGTACATACTGGACTAGTGCGATGTGAACATCAGCATCACTCCAGACTCCAAGCCATGAAATTGTGTAGTCTTATACAGTGCATACGTATATACAATTTTTTTCTTTATTATATAAAGTACTGGTACCCCTTTTATATGCAAATATGAGTGGAAAGAAGAATTGCAATGACACTGAGCATTCTAGTAAGCATAAATGGTTAACATTAGATGAAAAACTAAAAATTATAAAACATGAAGGTGCATTGTAAGCTAAAATAGCCCATGAGTGTGTTGAAAACTGATCATGCTTACTTTCCTGAATAAAAGAAAGTGCTATACATACAAAAAAAATAAGTTTTTAATGAGGAAGTACTGTATACAATTATTTAATATTTCATCTGAATAAATACTGTAATGTTGAAAGTCATGCTATACGTATAGTATTAGTGTTTAATATTTTTCTAAATGATGATGATAATATTGAAGTATTAATTCTGAAATAGTCTTCAGGGCCTGATGGAAAGTCTGCTGGCTCCATCTTCTACGAAAACCTATGCTTTAAGGCAGTGAATCAGTCTATAGGCCGAGCTATCCGTCACAGGTATGTATGGTGATACAATACTGGTTTGAACTTTCAGTAGCAGTATATTTTTGTTGTGTAATGAGTTGTGAGATGGTATTCAAATTTAATCCATGGAAAGGGAAGAATACAGCCAGCTCAGTTCTTCATATCAAGAATTTTTCATCTCTTGAGGGGCCCATTTAAAATCTCGTATCTAAAAACAAGGGTTTGATCTGGGACCAAGCCGTTAGGGCAGTGGCTCTTTTATATTGAATGTAAAATATTGGGTAAACCACCTTGGAAAAAATTAACTGAAATTAGGTATAGAAAATAGGTTCCAAGTACCAAACAATTTTTTCATGATGAATTTTCAGTAACATTCTCATTTGGCATTTATTGTACTTACTGATCACATTACTGTACTGAGAAGATCATGATTTATTTACAAGGTCTAGAGAAAATTTTAAGAGGGGTGGTGAGGTTATCAACCAATAGGCATTGTGTGCATGAGTACTCTTAGGAATAGCTCAGACTTAGCATAGGAAAAATGGTTGTGGGTGTAAAATTTGTAGAGGAAAGAAGGGATAAGTAGTAGTATGACCAATATTTGTCAAGAAGTGTACTGTGAGTTAAAAATGGAAGTCCTGTAGTAAAAACAGGTTTTAGTATTGGTACTTTGCCCTTCAGCGTTGCTCTTAAGTGATACACTCTGTGTAAAATTTCCTTCAGGAATGACTATGCCAGCATCCTTTTATTAGATCATCGGTACTGTCGCCCATCATCCATACAGGCACTGCCAGAATGGATATCCAAGCATGTGCAACCATGTACCAAGTTTGGTCAAGCATTTAGCTTACTGAGGAAGGTATTCAAACATTCCTATTTGCATTTTTCATCTATCCTGGCAGTATGATAAGACAATACAATATAATGTATTTGAAAACCACATTAAAGTTGATAAAAAAAATTGATTAATTACAGATTTCTGAATATACTAAATAGTTATTTTTTATAATATTAGTTATTTATAACCTTTCTTTATGTAGTTTTTTGCAGATAAGAAGATACTCTCAACTACCTAGAAGAAATCTATTAGTAACCTGTTTAAAAAGTCAATACATACTGTATATATGTACAGCCTCTCCTCATTTAACGACGGAGTTCCGTTCCTGAGACCACGTCATTAAATGAATTTGTTGCTATACAAGGAGCATACTATAATGGCAGTGAGTTTGTGTCAACCATCTTTGATATTGTTTTAATGTCATCTTTGCACGATTTATAACATTTCTGGTATATTTTTAAATGTTTATACAGTAGTGTACTGTACAGTGGACCCTCAGTTAACGATATTAATCCGTTCCAGAGAGCTTGTCCTTAGCCGATTTTATCGTTATCCCAATTAATTTTCCCCATAAGAAATGATGAAAATCCAATTAATCCGTTTCAGACACCCAAAAGTATTAACAAAAAATCTTTTTTTTTAAAGATTAAATATAGAGATACAGAAAACAATGACAAATACAATATAAAGCACTAATAAAATGGATAAATGAACGTTTAACATCACACTTACCTTTATTGACTCTTGTTGGTGTATGGAAGACAGGAGGCGAGAGAAAGGCAAGTTTATTATGTTTCAATATGACACTAATATCATCTCTATGGTTTATTTATCTATCACAATTCATCTAATATGACATAATAAACAATATTAAAAACATAGAAACATGATATGTACTCTAGAATGAATAAAATATGTCACAATGTATGTGAGGAGTAAAGTGATGGATGTGTTGTTGTTTGGCTTATAAAGGCCACTGAGAGAAGCTGTACATATTAGTGGTGGTGGAGGTGGCAGCAGAACCCACCACCATTATTCACACTTAAACAATGTATGTAATTTATAAATAAGAAAGATTTACATTTTAATTTATAACTAAAAAATATTTACATTTCATTTATAAATAAGTTTATTCAGGTATACATAAATACAGTTACATACATAGATTATCATACATAGCAGCATGTGTGTAAAGTATCTAGGATAACCCAAAAAAGTCAGAGTGACTTATTTCCATTGGGGTCCTTTTATATTTACACATATTTACTTTTATACTCACACTTATATTTACACTTGCCTTGGAGGAGATGTTAGTTTAATTCGTTAGTTTGATGGAGATGCTGGCAGAGGTTTAGGGTGGTGGAAGGTAGCAGGGCGGTTTATGTTCATTGGCCCTGTACACATCCAACAACATTGGAGAATTACTTTCGTGTTGTTTTTCTTTCACTTACTCGCTTAACTTACTTGCTACAATGTTAATTCTACATTTTATCACTGGCTGGCACTATAGCCTTTATCGATACCTGCTGCTTTAGTATCATACATGTCGTAGAATCACTGAATCACTGCAGAAGGCACATTCTTCCCTCTCTCTTCCTCCTCCACTTTGGTACTTTGCTACGAGTTTTTCTTGAATTCTATTGTGTTTCTTTCCTTCTTTACCACAGGGCTGGCACTAGAAGCTTTCTTTGGGCCCATGGTGGCTTATTTAGCAGTTACAAGCACTAAAAACAATGGAATAATATAAAATATATCACATGTATGCGTGGAATTGTCCTCACTGGCTTGTAAATAATGGCACACTGGCTGTACATGGATACATGGAGTGGTTGCCTGAGTGGACATGTTCAGGACGAATGTCCTTAACCGAGTTCTTGTTCGGTAACCAAGCCAATATTTTGACACAAAAAGTATCGCTATCCGATGGCATCATTAACTGAGGGTCCATTGTATATTGAAATAAACAGAATACTGTAGAGGATATCAGCCCTAATATACATTATTTAGGTATGAATACTAGTCAGAGCCTGTCGTAAGTCCGAGGCATCGGTAAATGAGTACGTTGCTAAGTGAGGAGAGGCTGTATATAAATTTTATAGTGCATATTCCTACAAATACTTCAACCATATAAGATATAGACATTACTTAAGCCTAATATGTATTTGAAACAAACTTGAAAATCTGTAGAACATGAAAAAATGGCTATTGTGTTTTATGCTTTAGAAAAAAAATAGAGAGATTACTGGATGAAAATTAGATTACCAACACTTGTGTAAAAATGTAAATGAACGCCAGAGTTTAATCTATTTGATGCTGTTTTGTTCGTGGGTAAAATAATATGTAATCTCTCAAATTTGGAAGCCAAGTTAAAAGTGTATTCCAGAGAGAATTTAAAGCAGTATAATAACACAACTTTCTTTTACTTTCATTTATTTATTTATTTGTTTGCCTTAATCCTGCCTCTAACTTTCAACAGGCTTACATGACATAGTGTAGCTTCGATATATCTATTTGCGAACCTTTTATGTATTTTCAATTCGTTTATGATTTCAAGACTAGCATCATGCCAGTTATGATTACTGTTATATTTAAGGAAAAGCATTAAATTTGTAGGGCTCAAACAGCACCTGGGGAATGGGAGACAGTCAGGTTCAGTCCAAGGAAGGACAGGTTCAATTCATTGGATCAGGAGCCCCTCTGGCATAAAGGAACAACTGTTGAGAATTCATGTAGCACCTGGATAATGGGAGGCACTAAATCCCTTTTGGATTTAGTGCTTAAATTGATATTTAGGTTTAGTCCAAGGATGGGGAGGTTTATGTATTATTAAATGAGTTATACACATTAATGACTGGAGCAATAAAGGTCTCAGATGACTAGAGCATGTAAATAATTACAGGGGGTGGAAATAGAGCTTGATACCTTACAGCTCCTAGACAGAACCTTGGTCAAAAGCTAGGAGGTAAAGTATTATGTTATTTTATTTATTTGATCATCTCTTTATGCCAACGACATGTAGCACATGTAGGCGCTGACTATCAGCATGTAGCACCCTCTCCAGAATGCTAATGATCATGCTTCCCACTGGGCCACCTCTTGTGGGTATAAATTTTGCTACTACAACACATCAGCTTACTTTCAAAAGATGCCCTGTTGTAAGTCAAGACTGTTCTGTACCTGTGTAGTTTTTGTATCCCTGAACTGGATATGATCAGATTTCTTGGTCTTCTGTTTGATCACTGAATGTCTTGGAAGTCTCGTAATCTCCCTGAAAACTGCATGTTAAAGCTTCGTGAAACTCCTTAAAACCCAAGCCTGCCTACCCTGGGAGGCTGATAGATGCACTTTTTTTCCACTGTCATCTTGTCTAAACTAGACTTTGATGACCACCTATATTCTTCAGCTTCTCATTACCCATTCATCATCACAGGTGTGAAGGCTTACTCAGCCCTGTAATAACTTCAGACAGTATTACCAAGGCTGGCTCCTCCTCAGGAAAATTAATGAATAGAAAAAGAAATAATAACAGACAAACATAAACACTTTATTATATAGAAAATATAAAACACTTAAATATGAAATATTAATCCTACATTAAAGAAAATGAAAAATGAAAAATATAAGTGATAACCGAATTCAACACTAATATATATATAGGGGTGTCTGGTGTTGGTGACACTGTGTTGTTGAAATCGTAGCCGTTGCTGATGATGGGGGGGGGGTCACACGTTCTTTACCGCTGCAATGATGAGGGATTACGTCCTGCAATTTCATACAGGTGCACAGGTAATTAAATCCAAAAAGGGGAAGTCTCAGGACGTTAGTCCATCTCCACCAGTTCTTCTCGTTGATTGACAGGTGACCCTCTCTGTCATCCAAGCTGAAAAGATAGACAGGTTACCCACTGCTTAACCCTTTCAGGGTCCGTCCCGTAGATCTACGGCTTTACGTTCAGGGTCCAAACCGTAGATCTACGCCATGAGCTCAGCTCTCACTGATAAACTGTGAGTGGTACATTTGGGCCTAGATATGAGAGAATACATCTATGTGGTATGTGTGCACCACATAAAACAGATCCTCCAGCACACTGTGTATAATGAGAGAAAAAAAATGAAATCATGATTTTTCGATTAAAACAGCAACTTTGCAGTGTTTTTTCGTATGTTTTTTATAGTTGTATTTGCGATTTCTTGGTCTCATTTGATAGAATGGAAGACATATTACAGAAATAGAGATGATTTTGATTGGTTTTAGCACTGGAAATGGCTTGAAACTGAGCTCAAAGTAGCAGAAATGTTAAATTTTTTGCCGATATTCAAGAGTAAACAAACGACCTCACACGTCTAATACACGTCAGCTGGTGGGTCTAATATACATTCACAAATATGGTGATGATATTTATACAATTATTACAGTATTGCATAACAGTAAATCTTCTATTTTTTTGGTGTGAATAAAAATTCATTATGTGAATAAAAAATCAAAATGGAATTTATTTGTAAAGCCTCAAAACATAACTAATGAACAGAGGAAATGTTAGTTTAGTGCCAGGAATGCCTACATTGTTCATTCTGGACCCTATTTTGAAATTGGAATATTTTAAACTTTGTGTTAAATTGGCCAAATTAACAATTTCCGATCACTTTATTTTGTAGTTGAAACAGTTGACTTGGCGATTTCTTGTGCTCAATCGATAGAATAGAAGTAATACTAGTGAAATAGCTAAGAATTTGGTTGATTGGAATAATGTAATTGGCCTAAAATGGGAGTCAAAGTCGGCAAAATCGCCGATTCGTAAATATCGCTGACACATAAAATATCCGCGAGAGCATAATTTCGTCAATTTTCCACCAAATTTCGTACTTTTTGTTTTATTACCTTCACAAAAAGATTCTCTACGATTTCATAAGAAAAAATAACAAATTTTTTTTTTGAAAATTCTTGGACACTGGTGCGTGACTCCAGATTTGGGCCTTGGACCCTGAAAGGGTTAAATAATCACTCTCCATGATAAGTACAATACCTAAAAGATGTGGTGATTATTACAAAAGTCAACATAGAGCAAGGCTGAAAAGACTAAGTTTATTATTGGTCAAAAGTGAAGCTTTCAACCCATAAATCCACTAGAATATAAGGCAGGCATGTACTTACAGTAGTGCTGGGAGCTGTGAGTCTAGTGATTACTGTTTGGACCAGAGCCCCACACGTCACCTTTCGGGGGGGGGGGGGGGAGGAGGAGGGGAAGGGATAGCGGGAGCTAGACTGACCCTACCTTAACAAGCAGCCGGCAGTCAAACTATCACTTTCGGGGTGGGGGGAAAAAGGCGGGAATAGCGGGAGCTTGACTTACCCTACCTTAATGAAAGTGCCCTTCTTCTACGCACTGATATTCCGTACCATCAGCTATTTGTTCGTACTTCGCTGCATTACACAGCAGCCCGTATCCACTTGCATAGGTGGTATACACTCTGTTCTTTGTATCTCTCTCCTTCTCGGGCATTATCTATCCCAGATATTGCCTTTCTTGTTTCGTCATTACCGCCACCACTTCTGTTACTTGGCGATTTTAATGCCCATCATTTCCTCTGGGGGGATCTCACTGTGATTCCAGTGGCATTCAGTTTGAGGCTTTTCTTGCTACCCTCCCCCTCCATGTTTTAAATACAGGTGCTCACACCCATTTTGATCCTTGGACTCACTCTCTCTTGCATCTATCTCTCAATCTGCTCTTCCCCCGCCGCATTAGACTTCACCTTTTCTGTTCTCCCGGATTTACATGACAGCGATCATTTCCCAATCATTCTTACTTCCCCTTCATATTCACCACCTCTTCGTAACCCATGCTGGCAATTTGATCAGGCAAATTGGAACCTTTACTCACAACTAACTGTTTTTAGTGAGGTTCCTTCTTCGTCCTCCATTGATGAGCTTTTACACCTCTTCTCGTCCTCCATTTTAACCGCAGCTTCTCACTCTATACCCCAAACTTCGGGCAGGCATTCTCAGAAATGTGTGCCTTGGTGGTCTCCTGCTTGTGCTGATGCAGTACGTTTGAAACGCACTGCGTGGGGCAGGTACCAGTACAATAGAACCAAGGAGAGACTTCTTGATTTTAAGCAGAAGCGTGCGATCGCTTACCGTGTCATCTGTGACATTAAATGCACTTGCTGGCGAGATTATGTCTCCACCATCACCTCTGCTTCCTCTTTGAATGCAGTCTGGAAAAAAAAGTACGAAAACTAAGTGGTAAATATTCTCCTGACCCGGCTCCTGTTCTGCGGGTTGCCGGTGTTGATATAGCAAACCCACTAGATGTTGCCAATGAAATTGTTAATCATCTGGTCTGTATTTCTCAGGGGCTCCATCTATGCCCCTCGTTTCTTTCCTCAAAGTCTGCCAGAGAGTTATCACCCTTGGACTTTTCTTCTCTCTGAGAAGAACAGTATAATGTGCTTTTTACACTTCAGGAGCTGGAGGCAACACTCTCAGCTTGCCGATCATCGGCAGCTGGGCCCGACGACATTCATATTCATATGCTACAACATTTTCATCAGTCAGCCCTTGCAGTCTTATTACGCCTTTTCAATCTTATTTGGTCACAAGGAGTTCTTCCACAGCTGTGGAAATCTGCCATTGTTCTCCCTTTCTGCAAACTGGGTACTACGGGACATGAAGCCTCCCACTATCGTCCCATTGCTCTTACCAGTGCAGTTTGCAAAGTGATGGAACGCCTGGTAAATAGACGTTTAGTATGTTATTTAGAGACACACAACAGTCTCTCCACTCGTCAATATGGCTTTCGTAAGGGTCGTTCTACCATAGACCCCTTACTACGCTTGGATACGTATGTTCGTAATGCCTTTGCGAATAACCACTCGGTTATTGCCATATTTTTTGACCTTGAGAAGGCATATGACACAACTTGGAGATATAATATTTTGGCCCAAGCCCACTCCTTAGGCCTTCGAGGCAATCTACAATCTACCATCCTTCCTTAAGAACTTTTTAACTGACAGACATTTCCGTGTTCGGGTTAATAATGTGCTCTCCCCGGACTTTATCCAAGCTGAAGGTGTCCCCCAGGGATGTGTTCTGAGCGTAACACTTTTTCTCCTTGCTATAAATGATTTGACCTCTAGTCTTCCATCCAATATTTGGTCATCACTCTATGTTGATGACTTCGCTATTGCCTGTGCAGGCGCTGACTGTCACCTCATTACAGTTTCTCTCCAGCATGCGGTCGACCGTGTTTCCAATTGGGCCACCATGCATGGGTTTAAAATTTCCAGTACCAAAACTCACCAAATTACTTTCACTAGACACTCTGTCATCTCCGATCATCCTTTATACCTCTATGGCACCCTTATCCCTGAACGTGATACAGTCAGGTTTCTAGGCCTCCTCTTTGACTGTAGGTTATCCTGGAAACCAGCGCTGTATAGCCCTTGTGGCTTAGCGCTTCTTTTTGATTATAATAATAATATCCTGGAAACCTCGCATTACCTCTCTGAAGACAACTTGTCACAGCCGGCTGAATCTTCTTAAAACCCTTGCTCATCTTTCATGGGGAGCTGATCGTCGAACTCTCCTTCGCCTACATTCCACCCTCATTTTATTGAAACTTGACTATGGTGACCAGATCTATTTAGCTGCCTCTCCTGCTACTCTATCTAGCCTCAACCCTATTCATCACCAAGGATTACGTTTATGCCCCTCTTCAAGGGGGGCTCCTTGGCGTGGTGAAGAGGCTCTTGGTCTGAGGAATTAGACCTATCGGTCTTCTTCCTCAGACCGAACCTAATTACCCCCCAATCTCCCCTCCCCTATCCCATCCTCCCCATCCTCCCCTTTTTCCTTTCCTCCTCCTCCTCCCCACTCCTCCCTTTTGCCCTTCCTCTTTTTGTCCTTTGGGATTTCTCCCACAGGCGCGCTAGTTCCTAGGTAGGAGAAAGGACACCGGGGTCCATCCCATTCCGTTGAGGTTTCTTGGCGGTGGCGTAGTTTGCCGTGGAATCTGGATTGCCTAGGGATGTCCCGATCCCTCTCCGGTATCCCGGAGTAGCTTTGGGTGTCTTTTGGGCGACGGGTGTAGCTCTGGAAGCCACCTTTCGGATTCCGGGGGTGGTGGTTGAAGGAGGTATGCTTTGTGGCGGATATCCGGCCGCCCTCTCTTTTGTCCACCGAGGTAGCTCGGCAGATGTGAGGTTGCTATCCCAGATTGCTGGTTTACTGGCATGAAGGTAGGGTAATGGGCACGGGTTCCATGCTGCATCTGCGCTACTAGCGGTGTCGAGTCCTCTTTGGGCGCGGAGGGTGATTTCTGGCCCTTTCATCCCTCCTAGGAACTATCCCTCCCCGGTCCCCCCTTTTTTTTCTTTTTTTTATTTTTATTTTCTTTCTTTCTTTTTTTTTCTTAAAAACAAAAAGAAAGAAGTAACCTAACCATGGCAGCCCTAGTCCATGAACCTGGTACCCCCCGGGCCCCTTCTTGATACCGCACCCCGTTCTGACCCCGCCTCGTCTTTGGACCACTCTTCAGACATTCCTCATGCCTCTGTACCTATTGCCGGTGCTGTTTCCTCACCCGCTTCAGGTACTGAGGCCTCGACTGACTCCTTCGATTTATCAGACCTTCGCTCTCCTCTGACTATGCTTCCGGCCTCTTCCCTCTACGTGCGGCAATTTTCAAATCGCCGACCCGTTCCACGTCGGACCAACTCTGGTCCCCACGCCTAAACGTCAACGACAATTACCTGCTGATGATACTTCTCCACCTTCACCTTCTCGTTCTTCTCAGAAACGATCGACACGTCCTTCACTACCTTTCCACGCTCAGTTTCAGACTGAACAGTGGACTAAATTCTTCACTTTACGACCAACTTCCTCTACTGCCTATCTTTCTGACCATAGAAATTGGCAAGGCACTCCTACGCCATGTTGGTAAAGATATTTCTTTTCATGCTCTTAAGAGCGGTACGCGCATCATTACCGTACAGAATGCTACCCAGGCTCGTGAGCTCTCTCGTCTTACCCATATAGATACTGTTCCTGTCACCCTTGAAAAACATCATTCCCTCAATTCTTGTAGTGGTACCGTTATTCTGCCCCATACCAAGTTCAACAAAATTTCCAGACATGTGGCACCGACATTCTAGAACAGCTGGAACTCCAAGATCTCCCAATCCTCAAGGTAGACACTTATACGTTCTTCCTGCCCGTGGGCGGAGACGATACCCTAGCAATGTGGCTCGTTTAACTTTTGACAGCCGAGAACTCCCATCCTCCGTTTATATAGCAGGACATCGTTACAAGTTCGAAAGGTGATCCCTACACCACAACAGTGTAGAAATTGCTGGCGATTTGGCCATCCAGCGAAATATTGCAGATCTATCGCCGAATGCCCAGTCTGTGGTGCCGATGACCATTCTAATACGTCTTGCAATCGATCTCCCTCTTGCCTTAACTGTCATTAGGCTCACCCTTCGTACTCTCGCCGTTGTCAGGTCTATTTAAACGAGCGGGAAATCCGTTACCTCAAAGAGACAGAAGGTCTCCCTTATGCCATGGCAGTTTCTCATCTCCGCCTCCAAGGGAGACTCCCACGTGTTTCTTATTCCCGTGTTTCAAAAACGTCCCCCACTTCTGGTATCCCATCTTCTACACCCACCTCTGTGGTTACCTCTCCCATAATCACTCCTGTATCTAATCCTTTTGCTGTCCTCGGCTCAGACGTCCCTACTTCAACGCCTCAGTCAATCTCGCTTCTTCGAGTTCTCTCTTACAAGCCTCAGTATCGACGAGACCTCGTACGACACCTCTTCCCAATCGTCCCTCTACTTCTCAAAAGTCAAAAAAAGGTCCGGTAACACCTCCTACCCATCTTCCACCTCCTCATTTTACCCTCCCGTCTCTGTCCCTAGTTCTTCCCCTCTCACTGGCTCAGTTTACAAGTGCAGAGGTTCACCCTCCTCCTCGAATGTACCTTCCTCCCCTGTTCCCTCCCAAGTTTCTTCCTCTTCTGCCACCTCCCAGGTTTCCTGTCTCTTCTGTCCCCTGCCACGCTTCTCCAGTTCCCTCCACCCTTTCGCCCCCCCCTACCTTGGTACAGTCCAATACATTC